ATGGCATGTTGGATTCCGTCAATGATCTCTTGGATCTTATCAGCAGCATCAACGATTGCACCCCTCTTAGCATCGTCCGGGTGAATGGCATGTTGGATTCCGTCAATGATCTCTTGGATCTTATCAGCAGCATCAACGATTGCACCCCTCTTAGCATCGTCCGGGTGAATGGCATGTTGGATTCCGTCAATGATCTCTTGGATCTTATCAGCAGCGTCAACGATGGCACCTCTTTTGCTATTCCCTGGAAGGAGAGTGTCCTTGATCTGCTGGATAATGTCCTGAATCGCAGAGCCCAAATCGGGGAGGTCTCTTCTTTCTTCCGTTGGGACTGGCACAGCAGATGCCATCGCGGCGAAGGCTAAGCCAAGAATTAGCAGCTTCATCGTGGGATCTGTAAGTACAAAGTATTAAATTTGTTAAACCTCATTTCATTAACCATATTATATGTGTGGAGAGACAAGGTGCTGTCATCTATTGAGTCTTAAATGAAACTTTGTGAGCATTTTATTAAACAAATTAGCAACTACTTATCGCACTATTAGCTGTTTATCCGTTTATTATAGTGTGAAAACAGTAACCACATCATAAGGACCTGAAATCCGACCACGAAAGTATAGCAGCTACTTCTAGTTCGATTGCATAATGTTGTCTGGAGAGGCATATAGACCGTGTAAAACAATAGGTCTACACTGGTACTTGCATGGGGACCACATAAATTGTATGTCCTTATCCCCAACCTCACCAACTGAAAAATTAACTTAGAATTCCCCACACAAATCAGGATAGATCCCCAAAAAAACATTCAAAGCTGCATACAAAAACCTCATCAAACAAAACTCCAACTCAGACTAAATCTTCACATATGATTTTAAATCAAGTTCAGTTGTAGATTTGACCGCCCTGTCCAGAAACAACACTTTACAAAATAGGCTCCATCCCGAGGTCTTCACTTTTTCTGTGGTATTGTGACACTGGGCTCCGTAGAAAATTCTCCCAAATCACCCTTTGTCGTTTTGTGCTTTTTTTGTCTTGCCTAATGTCTCGATTCAGCTCCAAATTATGGATTTTGAGCTGAAGGTATTTTTAGCTTCTTCAGCCTATCTATTATCCATTTCATCGCATAAAAATCCCCTAAATCCAAGTCTTATTTCTTTCCATACCTGACGTAATTGTCATCACTATTTCTTCATTAAGTCAATCTTTTATTATATTCTACCAGCTGGGGTTTTTTTTAAACCGTTAAAAAAAAAAAATAATAACTACAAAACTTTTTAAAAATCAAATCTTCATGACATTTAAATAGAATACAGAGAAGATGTTATACTAAATATGCAAACTTTGAATTTTTTTATATGTGAAATAGTTTTTAAATGGTGTCTGGAGTGTGCATACAAAAAAACCCCAAACAAAACCCAGTCTATCTCCATGAAAAATGTGTGCAGTACTCATTACGAAAATCATTTCCACAAAATCCACTATAGCCGCCGTACCCATGGAAACAGACTTTTTCCCTCAAATTCGATCAAGGACTTTAGGACTCCTTACTATGCTTGTCATAGGTTTAAAATTTGGTAAAATTTGATCAACTTATAAGCAATATAGCCTTCATGTGTAACGCCCCCCACCCACCCCTTAATTAGATTGTGTATTGGACATACCTCTCTAATATATAAGCACCTCCTGCAGGGAGATTAGCAGCACTTTTGTATCGGATGCTATATCTATTTTACCATAAGGCACACCATAACAGACTAATATTTTTGTAAAAACCAGTTTGCTATATTCTGGGAAATTCTTTAATAAATACTAATTTTAAAAATCTATGTAGGTGGTTTCTACTTAATATAATATCGCTTTTAAAAGCAAGTCTGTCCCCTGTTCTAATTGCGAGAACATTTTTATTTAACGCATGTCTTGGGGACTGTTAGCTCATAAAAGTGCTCACAATAAAATGAAGCTCTTTGCATCTAGTTTTGCCACTATAAAATCTCATCAGTAAGCTTATACGGGGTGCCCACTACGGCTGGATCAGACCGATCGCCTGACTCGATCGCCTGAAACTGAAAACAAAAACACGTTTGTTTTTGAGGCGATCGAGTCGGACGATCGGCCCAATCAGCCGATCCTAGCCGAAGTGGGCACCCCGTATTAGATGTAAGCCATAATAAAAAATATACGTAAGCAAAATGTGTGTGAGAAGCCGGAAATGCAGTGAACAATCCCATTTTCCACGTTTAGGAGATTTGTAGTATTTTCAAAGAGGTTATACATAGAACAAGAGGTTTTAGCTTTGACGTCACGAATGTCAAACTTGAAAATATTCTCTGTCGATGTTGTTGCGATGAGAGAATATAAAGTAGCCAACCAGGCGTAACTACCCACCAACAGCACCGGCGTAATATTCAGTCTCATTTGCGGAACCGATGCCAAACAGCAGTTGCAACAGCAGCAGCAGGGGTTATGGAAGATAGCGTGTTGGGTAGCCAAACACAATTGCCAATCAACGACAATTTTAAAAAATATTGTGAACGTTTAAAATAAACCAGCCATTTATCTAAGTGTTGCATTTTAGAATGTTGTCAGTATGATGTAATCATTTGTGTACGGTATTAAACAACGCTCTTTGAGTGTGAGCAAAGGATTCATACAATGAGTGATTTACAGTATCCCACCCTACAATTAATCTATAATTTTGAGAAAACGAATTATAAATAATTAACCCAGTCATACTCTATGAAGACCTAGACTTTGTATCATTAGAAGGAGAGTGGAGACAGCATGACATAACAGCAACCCTTTTTGTAAATATGAAATTGTTCGTTTTCTTAAGAGAAGTCAATTACTCACTTTGTTTCCCTCCACCCCTCCCCCACTCCAACAGAAAAAAACAACAACACCTTATATTATATCTCTCTGTTCATTTGTAGCCCATATTTGAGTGCGGTATTGTGTATGCGTGTATGTTATATGATTAAACAACAACAGCAAACGAAAAGAAAACTTAAAATTAAACTGAGCTTCAAACTCAGAAGACAGGCGTTGTGAGGGACGCGCTGCGTGACAGCGCTGTTTCTAATCCTCGGCAAAATGGCGACAAGGCGAGCTGAGTGGGCTTGCACAACAATAGTGAGTTTACGTGGGTGACGTCACAGCTGCAATCTCTAGTACTATTATAACATATTTGAGTATTTTAAAATATAAATTAATGAAGAAAAGTTTTGGTTTGAATCTAGCCTCAATTGTATTGGAAAAAATATGATTAAGTTAAGACAAATAGATACAAACAGCTGTGCAAAATAGGGGTGACATTGATTCCCCGGTTGAAATTTTTTTTTAAATATGAGAGTTTACGTTGCGCCACGAATTCTTGACCGCACTATAATGAAATTCCCAGGCTGTGAAGAGATCCGTAAAAGATATAAATTTACAAACTGAAACAAACATTATCCTCTTTCGTTGGTACCAACAGAATTCTCGATTTCACAAAGGCCATTGGCGTTTACACAAAAAATGTAATTATAGGATCTTATAAATGTAAATTGAAAGTTTTAAAACTAAGTCTTCACCATAAAATATTTAACCAAAAAAACAACATAAACCAACGAACTCATGTTTTGCCCACTCATAAGACATTATGTAGTTGCGAATGTCGTAAACGTTTACTGAAACTTGAAGCCGCAAAAAAATGTAAGGAAGAGAAATCCGACCGAGACACTCAGCTATTGTCTAAAGACATTATTCGATTACATAAAACTGGGAAAGGCATAATATTATTTCTATATACTATAATGCTACATACAGCCTTAATGGTGCGATTTTGTTTTAGTTTATCATTATTTGTGTTTTTACGGATTCATTTTATTTACTCATCCTCTCGGTATCAATATTTTCTGTAACGGACAAATGGACTCTATTTTTACAATTTCACTCTTTTTTTTTAGTTATTTGGCTCCAATTTAAAAAATCTATAGAGCTTGTCATCAAGTATCTTTGTATTCACGTCGACTCAATTTGGCTTTCAAATAATCGTAGCTTTCTTCCAGACCTAACCGAAATTTATTGGAGCATTAAACGAGTGAGCCACACCATTTCTGTCTAGAAACTCGATGAAGCTGTTGTCACTATATGATACAAACACACACACACACACACACACACACACACACACACACACACACACACACACATACACACACACACACTCACACACACACAAACAGCAGTTCACGTCAATAGAAGTAATTAGAAAGGCAACTCACCTCACACTTGCTTTCTTGAAGCTAAACCGAGGAGAATGAACGGTTGTAGGGGATCGGTTTTTACTTTGGAACATTCTCATATTTATATGTTTAAAGGTCCGGATGTCGTGATGCCAGGTGACAAAATTAGACACTAAACTGAAACCGTCAATGTTCAAACCGTGTGAATGGATCTGCTGGTGAGGAAAAAAACAACAGCACAAAAACAAAATATATTGAAAATAAACGATAAAAGATAAGTTTTTAAGTCTTTTTGTTGGTGTTTCTTGCTTCTACTTGCCTTCTTCTCCATGGGCTATTTTTTTTCTTGTACTGTTCATAAAGGACTTTTTCTAACTTTTCTGATTTGTTTTTGTTTCTTTTTTCTTCTTTTTTATGACGTTGTTTTAGTTAATTTATAATGTTCCTATGTGTTCATGTGTGTGCGCGCGCATGCGTGCGTGTGTGTGTGTGTGTGTGTGTGTGTGTATGTGTGTGTCTGTCTGTGTGTGAGTATGTGCGTGTTCGTATGTACGTGCATGTGTGTGTGTGTGTGTGTGTATGTGTGTGTGTGTGTGTGTGTGTGTGTGTGTGTGTGTGTGTGTGTGTGTGCGTGCGTTTATGTAAAGGGGGAAGGTATATTTAATATAATATATTAAAAGACCTTCAAAAAAACCTAACACAACATTGCCATGTTTGTTTTCGCTGTACTCTCCCTCAATTCTCAAAACAAGATGCTGGTTCCTGTAGAAATCCCTAATAACTGTTAAACCTTCTCCATCTATGCCTAACTTGGTCTAAATCATTATTATGAGCATTCAGCAAAGCAGAAAAGGTCTGTAAACGCTTCGATGGTCACTTCATCAATAACAATATTGTTAGAATGAATATACCATTCTTGGTGCCTTCGTCAGGAACAAAACCAATTAATGGGTCTCAGTGCAGTGGAATTAGTCGCTCGTCAGTGTGTGAGCACTTGGAATTATTGGTATTATCTGAAACCTAGTTTACTAGCCTTGCTTTCAATGGAAAAAAATGCCATTTATCTTGTAAAGAGAAGTTGAGGTGTTTGTGATTAAAGGATGTGGGGGTTGCTTGGTTTCAGAAGTAAAATTAGCCATAAAGTGGCCACCCAAACAATGTCATACTGATTCTCGACTCTTCTTCTAAACTAAATAAAATGAGAGGTTTTGTGCTCATGGTCATTGGTGGGTTTTTTTCGGTAAAAATGCCAAAAGAAATATGTTTTAAAAAGCATAAAAGTTTTTGAGAAAAAAAAAGAAAAAAAATCCATTATTGCTCAACGTCTGTGAAAACATCAACTCTTAGATTACGTTATTTTGACGCGTGCTTGATTTGACCACTATTGTCACACAGATTATTTTCTGTGGCCTAAAACGTTTTCTTATTCTTTTCCTGATGCGAATGTAATGATACAACCAGAGATATTCTAGTTTGACCTAGCAAATAAACGAACAAACAAACAAAAAAACTAACAAATAAACAAACAAGCAAGCAAACAACTATACAAACAAACGAACAAACAAGTGTTTAATAATCCAGATTTTTACATGTCCTCTAATGCATACGAGCCAAATATTTGTATGCATACGTATGTACGTTGAATCAATGACACTTATTTTTGTATACTTTACACTGCAGTTTATATCAATTTGTCTCAAATTAATCAAATTTTTACAAAACAATTGAGGCTATATTATTTTAAACAACGTTTATCTTCACAATTACATGATATTGTATTAAAAGTAAAGTTCCGTGCTACGTCCACTTGTTGGTGTGGTTGCTCATAAACCCCTTAGCGTTGCCAAAGCGAAGTTTCATTAGTAGCAGTCGATCAATATAGTTGAAAAGTGAACCTGACAGTGCCTGTATCAGAAATGACGAGCAAAAACGTCACAGGGGAAATACTATTTATTGTCTTTTTCGTCCCGTGTGCAACCACATGCCCTTAGTCCAGCCAGCTGTTAGCCCTTGGAGCAACCAATCTTCCTGCGTGCAACATTATGTGACTTAAACGCAACCTGTTCTTCAAAGATACAGAAAAATAATACAATTTGATTTTTTATAAGCTACAAGACCTCAAGAGGCTTTATCTGAAAAAACAAATTAAATTAAAGATAGGGCAGAAGATTGAAATAGTTGAAGTCCTTGATGTCTCAGCGCGCTTCCTCTTAACATAGATTACACATTACGCCATAGCTTGTCAGCATTCTGCAAAGTTAGATTTTGGTGAAGTTGCAGAGAAGACTAATTTGACTACATCTTCCCTCGTTGATGACATTGTTGTTTGCGTTAGGTGCAAATTCTATTCCATTATCATTAAGTGTGTGTTTTAATACACAGAATGCAATATAACAAAAAAAAATCGGGAATTGAGTAACTCTTCAGTGTGTGCGGGTTTCTTTCCTCTATGTGCTTGGTAGTTAGACTGAACTATGTGTTTATTTAAACTATGTTTACTGCAAGTAAGATGCTAATGGTATTGCTCCTCAAATTTAGTAGTGATATGGGTGATTTTTTGTTGTTTTTAGTTGTTGTTGTTTTGTGGGTTGTTTGTTTGTTGTTGTTGTTTTTGGGGGCGTTTGGGGGGGGGGGTTGTTTTGTTGGGGTTTTTTTAGTTTTTCATTTCGTTTTATATTTGTTTTGTTTTTCGGTGGGTTTGTTTTAGTTGGGAGAGAAGGGGGTTATTGTTTTCATTTTATATACAAAATTACAAGATAGAAATATAAGTTTAAAATGTAACTAACCTAGCTAGATGTTAGATAAAATTATTCTAGAATGACCCAAGAGGTTATTACATCTAGGTCAGTAAAAAAAATCCACCATGCCCAACCCGCTACCAGCCTGGTTGCATGCAGGCCCAAGATGATTTCACCATGCCTGTGATGCGACCACCGACATTCCGCTTTCAAACATTAACATATCTTGGGAAACTATCAGAGCCGCACACTTTCGAGAAAAAAAACCCCTATCAAAGCCGCGCACTATCAGAGACGCGCACTTTTTGCCGATATTGACACAACTAGACTAGCGATTCCATTCAACAGTCACAGTCCCCCTGACAAAATTTCTCTGTACAGCCCCCATCCCGTCCTTCTGAAGTCGTTAAACGACTTCCAGACCATTTCTAAGCTGGAACTACAAACACAGACCAAACAAAATGACACTGCCAAGGAGGAAGGGAGAAGGTGTTATAAGCAAATAAACGCAGATGGCCAATTCTCTCAACTTCACTTTTATCTTAAATGGACAAGAAAATGCCGCCCCAACAGTTTAAAGATTGCCCCTGTCCTGTTGATATGTTTTTGTACCTGAAAAGCCAAGTAAGTCAGTTCGAAATATAACTGATGCTGGTCACAAGCCCAGTAAAACGCTGATGATACATACTACATTGTTAGTTGGTATTGGTTTGGGGAATCACCAATCTAATTGTATCGATATCGTCAAAAAGTGCGCGGCTCTGATAGTGTGCGGCTTTAATAGATTTTTCTCTAAAGTGATCGGCTGTGATGTCCCCCTAGCTCCATCTCTTTAACGGATAAATCAATGTCACCCATACTTTGCACAGCAGTTTGTATCAGTTTGTCTTAACTAAATCATATTTGTCCTCACCAATTGAGGCTACATTTTTATAAAACACTTTTCTTTATAAATTCATATTAAATACTACAATTCTCTATCCCGCGGAAAAAGGGATTGTTCGCAAGACTTCCCGCTTCTCACACACATTTTGCATACGCGTGTAGCCTACGTCACAGGTCACCAATGACACTTTTTAGTGGCAAAACTTGTTACAAGAATATTTTTTTAGCAAACGCATTGTGTGCACGAAAGATTCTCAAAACAATCGTTCATTAAACATAATGTGGCGATTAGGAACAAGATGATGACCTTGCTTTTAAGGGAAGACAAACATGTTTTTTTTCAAAATCCGTTATGCACAGACTTAGCAATCATTTAAGGGCATTTTATATGACTTTGGGGATCTTGTACGTTATTCAGGTAGTCAGATGAACTCTACTTCTGCGCTCCGGGCAATTTTTCTTTTTAGAGTGTCAAGACCCCGCCCTATAAAGCGTTATTTTAGTGCTGGCGTAATTTTCTTATCTATAAAGCTACGGAGTTAGAATTTTCACAGAGTAAACCCAGTATAGGTAGTTGCAACCTGTTAGATGACTTTTTTTTATAACCTTTATAATAAGTGAGATATCCAGGATTTTAACGTATCACTTGCTAAAACACCAAAATTTTCCTTAAAATCCCTCCCTCTGAGGCATATAGAACGTAGTAATATGAAAAATATGTCATAAATATAAAAAACAAGCCTCTAACAGGTTGCAACTACGCCAATTGCCTACACTGAGGTTAAATTTCAAGGGAATTCTATAAACAGCCTCCGAAATTTCGATGCACCAAAACCACATACCGCTAAAAATATCACGTTGTAGAGAAAACGCAAAAAACACAAAAACAACAACAACAACAAAAAGGCGTTCGCATTGTTATTATTTTTCTTTACAACCGCAGACAGATCAATGCAGTGTTCGTCTTTTTCAGTATCTACCACTGCACTTTACTGATCATTCAGTTCGGAATACAATTATGTAAAATGAAATAAGAATACAGTTTGGAATGATGAGATGATATCATTTATTTTATGAGAATTACACTAGGAAAGGGGAACAAAGTTCCCTCAAGGCTTGAGACAGTGCAATCATAGTCGTACTTTATGCAGAATAGTAAAGCGATAAGTGAAACACTAACTTCTAAACACTGAAGCACATTAGAATTTCTCAACTTGTGGAATTTTCAGCATAAAATTTATGCAGGTTGTGAGGTAGATGACTGGTAACTACACGATAGTGTCGACAGTTAAACATAAAACCAGATTCAGGTCCGATCACTTTTGCATAGTTAGTATTGATTAACAAAGCATTTTGGATTGCAAGCTGAAGACGCGAGTTCGGTTTCGTATCAGAAAGATGATTTCATCGAGTATCTCCGCTCTTGCTGAAACCCTTGGGATAGAAGAGCGTCCTAAAGTCTGGACAGCGCCGATAAAAGTAGGATGTCGAGCAGGAGTGGAA